CAATAAGCAAGCCAAGAAATAAATTTGCATAAAACTTTCGTATGGTGACACACTCCTACAAATCTAAGAAGCGGGAGGAATGAGACAGCAGCTGAGGGTAATTTCTGCCAGGGTCAGGGATGGTCACCAACGGAGACAGGGGGAAGAGGCCATGACATAGGTACAAGGACAAGATAGTGGGTTCAACTTAACTACTAGAGCGCTCCTACCTCTCTCTTGGCCCAGTTGTGGGGGCTGAGTATCTTCCGTAATGGCTTCTGGTGGTCCAGTTGGTGACCCAGGGCGGCTGGGCTGGGGAGTGCCCCCAGGGCTGGGCTCAGTGCCCTTTTGCAATGAACCTTCTGAATGGAAACTCTGGTTGCTGTTCTCATCTGCTGAAGCAAACACCAAGCTGGTTGGCCGGAGGATCGCCTGTAGCTCTCTCTGCCTCCCTCCCTTTCCAGAATTTCTACGTACCATTGAGGTCCAGCAGCAGGAGGGGGCCACCCGTTCGGGGACTGGTGCCCCTTCCGCGTCTCTCCCGGCCGCGGGATCTCTCCGCCCCGCCTCCTGCCCGCCGCCTCTCCTGAGGGTTAGAGAGGTAAGATCAGAGTTGTCTCTTACAAAACCGCTCAGTACAAATAAGGAAACCTGGGCTCAGAGAAGCGAGAGGTGCTGCCTCGGGTTGTCTAGGCTGAGTTAGGGTGGGTGGGTGCGCCCCCGTGCCGGCTAATAATCGTTACCATCTGCCTGAGCTCCACACTGGAGTCTCCCAGCTAAAGGTGGAGGCCAAGGTGGGGAGGGAAAGTGCCTGAGGCTGCACAGGTGCAAGGCCTGTTGGGGGTTGGGCTTGCTCACCTCCTCCTGGGGATCCACCACAGGCACCCACTTGAAGATTCGAAGGGAAGTGTCACCCACAGTCACCCACCGCTTCTCCCTGTGGGAGGGCAGGAGACCGGGTCAGGGAGGCCCAAGGACGAGCCCCCACAGAGCTGGAGGTCGCGAAGGATGTGCTAGGGTCAGGGGCAGCTTCGCTAGCAGGGCGTAGCAGAAAGAGGCCCTGCAAACCCCAGGGCACTGACGGAGGTAACTTGGAGCTGCGGTTTTGCAGACAACCTGGGGCACTCAGCAGGGCGCCACCAAGGCCTGGTCAGGGACTCCAGCAATGAAGACCCGGGGCCGCGCTTGCAAGAGTGTCAAAGCTTCAGGGGGCGGGGCATAGATGAGGGCTCCCGCTCTGGGAAAGCACCACTCCGGGCCACGCTTTGTAGACCTCTGGGAATTGCCAAGGAAAGGGGGAGGGGGGAGCCCTGTCGATTCAGAGCACAGCTGGTGGGCGGGGGCAGCTGGCCAGGAAAGGGCGGAAACGTTTGGAGGAGGTGGCTTGGCTGTGTCCCCGGCCCAGGGGCAGCGCTCACCATCTCCGGACCTTCTCGATGGTCGCCATCACCTTCTTGATGTCATCTTTGGCCCGGCTCCGGGTCTCGGCCCGCACGGTCCGGCCGGCCATGCTGGCTGGGCTTGGGCCGGGATAGAGCCCGTGGTGGGGCGGCCTGCGGTCCGGCGATCTCAGGCTGCTCGCCAGGCCCCGGCGCCGCTCTTTCGGCCCGCCGTCCCTCCGGGAGTTGGCCGCGCCCTCCCTCGCTCCCCAACGCCTCCGCGCGTCCCCGCCTGGCTTCCTGCGACCGCGCCCCGCCCCGGCCCGTCCCCGGAGCGGCCCGGGCGGCGCGGGCGGCTAGAGCCCCGGCCTGGAAGCCCGGTCAGCCCCGCCCCGGCCCGGGCCCGCCCCTCGGGGCGCACGGACGCACAGCGCCCTCTGCCCGCCGCGGAGAGGGAGAGCTGGGGGGGGCAGCTGTGCGGCTGGACGCGCGCGGCCCGAGCGAGGCGGTGCGTTCCGGCCACGTGGGCACCGGGGTGCGCGAGAGGGACTGTCCTGCTGTGCGTCCGCGGCGGGTGGGCGTCCTGAAATGCTGTGTGCGCGCGCGCGCGCCTGCCCTCTCCAGGCTGTTTGGTTCTACGCTGCTGCCCGACTTAACTTGTTCGTCCATTCATTCAACAGTCCCATTCACAGTGCCAAGTACGTGCTAGGCTCTGCGAGGGTAGAGCGGGCCTCCTCGGCCAGAATGGCGGAAGTGAAAAAGACAGACCATACAGATGGGGTTAGGAGAGCAACTTGACATTCCTTGAACCAGGGTGTGTGATTGATAGAGATCCTTTGAAAAACTGGCAGTTCTCCAGTGAAAAACTTATGCCAACGCCATCTCCCAACAGCTCCGCTCCCAAGCTGCCGACACTCGAAAGAACCAATGTCCACCTTAGTTTTTTTGTCAACTCGACACCAACTAGGGTCATTTGGGATGAGGGAACCTTGATTGAGAAAATACCTCCACGCCTCCATCCCTTTCTTGATTAACAGTTGATACTGGAGAGCCCAGACCACTGTGGGCAGGGCCATCCCAAGGCAGGTAGTCCTGGGTCCTCTAAGAAAGCAGCTGAGCAAGCCTTGGGGAACGAGTTGTAAGCAGCCTTCTTCCAAGGGTCTCTGCTTCAGTTTCTGCTTCCAGGTTCCTGCTCTTAAGTTCCTGCCCTGCCCTCCGTTCCTGATGGACTATAAACTGTAACCCGAAGTAAATCTTTCCTCCCTACAGTTACTTTTGATCATAGTGTTTATCCTAAGAAAAGAGACCTCAGTAGGAGAAAATGTGTCTGGAGAAACCTCAGCAGGAGGAACTGCGGCTGTGTGAACGCCCGAGAAAAGCGTGCTGGAAAGTTTGTAACTCTTGACGGTAGCAACAGCCTGGGAGCAACTCCTCAATGGAATGGAATGGAATGGAAAACAGTTACAACCTGTTTCTACCGTGTGCCAGAGTCCTGCTAGACCCAACATAGGTCTTGAATAAAAGAAGCTGGACGCGTTAGATGATTCTACTTATATAAGTTCAAAAGGCAAACGCATCTCTGGCGGGAGAGGTCGGACAGGGATTCACCCTTGGGCCTACAGGGCAACAGATAGGGTTTCTGGGAGTTTGTCACACTGTTCTTTAGTGTGTCACGATGTACATTTAGCACCTGTGTAATTTTCCTTGTGTTTATTACAGTTCAACTAAAAGTTTACTTAGAGAAAATGAAGGCTGGCAAGATGGGCTCAGTAGATAAGGCACTGGCCACCAAGCCTGATGGTCCCCAATAGTAGAAGAGAACCCACTCCTGCCGGTTCCCTGACCTCCATAAACGGTACACGTCATACACAGGCAAAATAAATGTAGAGGGTTTTTGTTTGTTTTTCTTTCTTTCTTTTTAAAAAAAGGTTGGGTGTGGTGGCTCACACCTTTGATCCCAACACTCAGGAGGCAGACAAATCTCTACTTGTTTGAGGCCTCCTCTGAGAATGAGTTTCAGCCCAGCCAAAAATACATAGTGAGACCCAGTCTCAGAAAGAAAGAAAACAGGGGCTGGAAACGTGGCTTGGTGGCTAAGAACACTCCCTGCTTTCTCAGGGGACCCTAGTTCGGTTCCCAGCACCCCGTTGCACTGCCTGCACTGCCTCCGGGGGATTCGATGCCCTCTTCTGGCCTCCTCCAGCCCCCACACTCAGATGTCACCAACACACGCATAAGTAGAAAGGGAAGACGATGAGTGCATCTTGGATGATTTTACTTGACGCTGGCCCATCAGTAGATAGGACATGTTTCCTGTGCTGTTTGTGTGATGGGCGTTTGTAAAGTTTTGGTGTGTCTGTGCCCACCATGTCTTGACAGCATTTCTGGAACCAAACAGTAAGGGGTAAAAATCTCAGCTTGTCACACCTACTTGCATGACCTTGGGCAAGCCGTGTCTGTCTTATTGCCTCATCTATAACGTGGAAATTAGGGAATGTGTATGTACATGGCTTTTAGAATAGTGCCTGGCACACGTGAATACCCAATAAATACTCTGGTTAGTGTGTGTTTGTGGCCACTGCTGACAGTCTGGCTTCAAGTTCACCTGTGATGTACTCCGCCAATGAATTTTGATCTGATGGTTTGCTAGTGTTGACATCCTCACACGGGCCTTTTCAAGCCTCTTGCTCATAAACTCCACTATCTGAAGCCTGAAACAAACATTGATGCTCCCTGTGCCAGAGCCCAAGACAGAGTAGGTGCTTGGGAAGCTATTGTAGAGGCAAGTGTGTCCAGACCTTTCAGTGTCTGCCCTGGGTTGGTGTGTTGCCGTTTGGGTGTGACCTCTCTGAAGCTTGTGTTCACCTTGTGGGAGGCTGGGTCTGAATGCCTTACACACATACATGTGTGTGGGAGGAAGGTAAGGGGAAGGCTGTCTCACTTCTGACCGGTGTGATAGAGAGGAGAAGGCAAAGAAGATAAGTAGACCAGAGGGTGCACCCTAATTTAGACAGGCCTTCCTGGCCCAGAAGGGGCACCTGCCTGCATTCTTCTCCTGCCAGCCCCACAGCTTTCCTCTCCAGTTTCCCCGCTTTCCCTCCAAAGCAGCCCTTACTGTCAAGCTCTACCTCAGGTCAGAGCCCAAGTCTCCTCCCAACAGGACACAGCTGCCTTAAAGGCCCAAGTTCCCGTTCACTGTGCCAGTACCTGCCTCCCCACTCTGGCCTCTTCCCAGTCTAAGCCTCACAAGCCGGTTACTGAGCTCTGGGCCAAGGAATCTTGCCTGAAAGTAGTGGTGGGAAGGAAATACTTGGGGTCTGAGCTATGATTGGTCGAGCACGAGCCACGCCCTTAGCCCTTTCCCCCTTTTTACCCCCTCCCCTCCTCCGCTCCGGTAAGGGTGTGTTGAGGGAAACGGGATCGGCTTGGGGCCAGCATGAGCCAGAGGGAGGGAAGTCTGGGTAAGGGGCTGAGTGACTGGATCCTGGGTCCCTGATGGGAATAGGAGTCAGTGGGGTCGAAATTTGGGGTTTGGATGCCTGTCAACACCACCCCACCCCCAAGTCTGGGAGGGGAACGGCCTGGGCGGGGGAGAGGAGCCGCCGGTGTCAGGTAACCAGCGGGTGAGTTGGGAGAAAGGGCAGGCGCAAGGGTTTAGAGGAGGACTGGAGTTGAGGCTTCAAAGCCTTGGGTTCAGGGGTTAGAGCACCGAATATATGGGTGAGTATACCCTGAAAAGGGGCTGGGGTCGGGCTGGGGCAGGATAACAGTGCCTCTCAGAGTATTGGGAAAGAATCAAAGTTGGAGGACTGGAAGGCGAGGCCGAGTTAAGGAAGTCTTTGATCTTCGAAAAAGCGACAAGTGGCTAGAGACCAAAGTACAGGCTTCTGAGATCTCCGCTGGCGGTGGGAAACTCTGACGGAGGGGCTTGTCCGGTTGGGACTACATTCCCCAGCATGCATTGGGGTGCCTGGAGTGTGCATGTTGGAAAATGTAGTCATCTTCCCGTGGCACCACCCTCTAACCAGGGAAGGCTAGCCTGTCGTTGATTCATTGCGGGTGCTGCTGAGCCTAGCGGCTCACCTAGGAGCATTAGGAAGGGAGTAGGTAGGTCTTCGGTTTCTCTATCTGTAAAACAGGCCGGAAAGGCGCGTTCCAACGTGAAGTTCTGTGCTTCAATGCTGCTGACTGAATTCAACCAAGAGCAATCCAAAGATATGTGAACTTTGTCCTTAGTTTGGGGATAGCATTGGTGGCATAGGGCGAGCATAGGCTGCCTTCTAAGGACTCTCGAGATACGGCAGATTCACACAGAAAAAAGAAACCACCTTGGAAGCATGAGCAAACTGCCTAAGTGGAAGGAGGAGGTTGACTGGAGGGTTGGGAGAAGCTGGAGGCAGCACTAGGAAGACAGTAGATGACTTTGGTCTTAATAGGATTTCAGGAGTGACTTTGGGGACAGGAGAGACATCTGCATCGAAACCCTGCCCTGTCTGGTCCTGTTTTTCCCTCCATTGGTGTGGGGCAGATTCTTCCTAGCTTGAATGTTAGCATCCAGAGTAGAACCTCTGGGTTCAGGAGGGGCCGACTTGGGAAAGATGGTTAAGGAGTGGGGTTTGGGTTGCCCTCTTAAGACTCCCCTGTCTTTCCCAACAGAAGACCTCCCGACTGACTCCTCCATTTCATTCCTTCCCCATTTGGAGGCCAAGATCCGCCAGACACACAACCTTGCCCGCCTCCTGACCAAATATGCAGAACAGCTGCTGGAGGAATACGTGAGTAGGGTTAGGGCTGGGCTGCGGAGTTAGGGGAGTCACAGGCCACCGATGTCTCCAACCACCCACGTCTTTCACCTCGTTCCCGCGACGGTGGAAACCAAAGTTTGTGGAGGGAAGGTTAACTTTGTTCTGGCCACGCAGTAAAGCGGAGGATCCATCCGTGGCCAAACGCTACTCTGCCTCAGCCTGGAGGCTCCATCCTTGGTCTGGGAACTCAGAGCCAGTCTGAGGAAACAAAGGGCACTCTAGGAGTCAGGAAACATAGATTTGGGCTCGGTGTGATCTTGATGTGTTGGCTCTTTGGGCTGTCAAACAGCTGGACAGTATGAACCGTGAAAACTTCCACCTGGGACATTTAGAGAAGCCCAGTAGAGGTTTCAATCAGAGGCAAAAACCCTACCCCTGAGTGGGCTTGCCAACAGTCCTGTCCTGGCCTCCAGGTTACCATGGTGTAATCTGCTGTTTGGGTTCATACGGACTGTAGGGCCGCTAAATTGTGGCCCTGGGATGCAGCGGGAACATTAAAATGTAACAGTGACAGCAGTGGCACAGGATGATACAGCCAGCTTCGGTCCAAATTCCAGCCCTGCTGCTTCCTGGGTGAGTAACCTACCGCCAATCACTGTTTGTATTCAGCTTGATTTTTATTCTCTTTAGAAAATTATCCCCATTTATTCTGTGTGTGTGTGTGTGTGTGGTCACATAGGCGCCATGCTGTGTACCTGAAAGTCAGACAACGGCTTAAGGGATGTGGCTCTCTCTTCTGCCATGTGGATCCCCTGGATCAAACTCAGGCTGGCAGGCTGGCAGCCATCTTGGTGGCCCGCAATTTCCTTTTTTTACAAAGCCATTATCATCCCCACTTTTAGGAAGATGCTGTATTCAAAGTATCGACCACAAGGTCTGCACCAGACACCAGAGGCAAGATACTTGAGAAGGGTAGTAAATATTGCTGTGACAGCATGTGACAAATTACAAATCACCTTTATTTATTTATTTATTTTTTACTTGTTCCTACATATCAAGTAGGGAAAGAGAAAGTGAATCTGACTGGGTTCCTGAACTATTTCTGTGATTCTCAAGAAACGTCTGTTGAAATGCATTATAATCTAGGGGCCTTTTCTAATCACCCACTCTTGCTCCCGAATAATTGACACAAAGACCTATTGGGTTTATTCAACAAGCATTAAATCACTAGAGCTGGGCAGATAATCATCTGTTCTAACCCTCTATGCTAGTCTGGCTACTTCCCCACCACGTGCCCAGAATTTACTTGGTATGTTTACCTGCCAATGGTTCTTCGGCTCCATCATGGCCACGTCCTTTCTCTCCCTCTTCTTCCCTCCTCTCTTCCTCTTCTTCCCTCTTCTCCCCTCTACCTTGAGGTCCGTAACTGAAACCCCTCCACTGGGAAGTCCAGTGTCCCTGTCCCCTCTTGATCAGCCATAGGCTGCTCAGCTTCTTTATTAACCGGTCAGAGATGATTGGGAAGCAGAGGTAGGGGGAATCTTTGAGTTCGAGGTCAGCCTGGTCTACATAGTGAGTTCCAGGACAGCCAGGGCTACACAGAGAAACCTTGTGAGTGTGTGTGTGTGGGGGGGGGTGTGGTGTCACATCTAGTAAGTGGCAGACAGGCGTTAAACCCAGGTCTGGGATAGAAGATATGGTTTAGCTGGTAAAGGGGCTGGCTAGGCAATTTGGTAACCGGAGTTTGCTCCCCAGAACCCACATAAAGGTGAAGAAAACTGATTCCATAAAGTAGCCCTTTGACCTGCACACATGCAGTGTGGTACCAGACACCCCCCCCCCCATCATGCATGTATACTTAAGAAATAGCAGCAACTGGGAGGCAGTGGCAGGAGTCTGAGGCCAGCCTGGCCTCAACTGTGAATTCGCGAACAGCAAAAGCTGTAGTGGGACTCCGCCTCAAAATAAACAAGTGAATAATTTAAAGACAGAGCTGGCTGTGGTGGTGCGTGCCTTCGATCCCGGAGACCAGCTGACCCTTGGCCGTGTCTCCACAGGTGCAGCAACAGGGAGACCCCTTTGGGCTGCCGGGCTTCTCTCCACCGCAGCTGCCGCTGACCGGCCTGAGTGGCCCAGCCCCGAGCCACGAGAGGCTGCCGGTGTCCGAGCGGCTGCGGCTGGATGCGGCCGCCTTGAGCGCGCTGCCCGCGCTGCTGGATGCTGTGCGCCGCCGCCAGGCGGAGCTGAACCCGCGCGCCCCGCGCCTGCTGCGGAGCCTGGAGGACGCTTCCCGCCAGGCTCGGGCACTGGGCATCGCGGTGGAGACGGTGCTGGCCGCTCTGGGCGCTGCAGCCCGCGGGCCCGGGCCAGAGCCCGCCGCCGCCGCCGCCCTTTCTACGGCCAACAGTGCTGCGGGCGTCTTCTCGGCCAAGGTGCTTGGGCTGCACGTGTGCGGTCTCTACGGCGAGTGGGTGAGCCGCACGGAGGGCGACTTGGGCCAGCTGGTGCCTGGGGGCGTCGCCTGAGAGTCGGCACTTATTCTTGCAAGCTCACCTGATCCCGCCTCCTTGGCCTCTAATTCTCTGTCTCTCTATCCGCGTCGGTGTGTTCTTGGGCTGCTTCTATCTTTCTGCATTGTGTGTGGCCACTTCGGGAGCAACCTGTGCCCACCAGTTTCTCTCTCCCCCCCCTCCCCTCTCTCTCTCTCTCTCTCTCTCTCTCCTCTCTTCCTCCCATCTTGAACTCTTTTGTCTCTGAGAGGTTTCTGTTTCTCTTGTCTCTTGCTTCTTTGTTTGCTTTTTTGTTTGTTTGTTTGTTTGTTTGTTTTGTTTTTGAGATAGGGTCTTACTATGCAGTCCTGAGTGGTCTGGAACTCGTTTTGGGGACCAGACTGGCCTCGAACGCATTGAGATCCACTTGCCTCTGACTCCTAGTTTCCCCTTCGTCTCCCTATGGTCTATATGGGTATGTGTAACTCTTGATTTCAGCTCATGGAGGGGACTCTTTCTCTCCCTTCAGTTCCTTCATTCTTTCCTGACCAGAAAAGTGCTTGCTGGGCCTGCTCTGGGCCAGCCCACCCTCAGGACCGTCCTCCTGCTGTGCTCCCCCCTCTCCCCATCCTTTGGCTCCTTCCCCCTTTGATGTCTTTCCCTTTCTTAACTCCCTACCCTGTTCCCAATGGCCCCCAGCCCTAGCCTGGTCTGTGGAGAGGGGAAGGCAGAAAAACATCTTAAGAGAGTTTTATTTGAGAATAAATTAAATTTTGTAAATAAAACATTTAACAATAAAACCTAAGTTTTATGAAACACAGTTGTGGGGAGAGAGATTTGAGGAGAATTGGATCTTTAGGAGAATAGGATCTTTAGGAGGGTGGAGAGATATCCGCCCTCCCCCTTCACACCCACAAAGGCACCGTACAAAGCAATTCATCAGAGGCCCAGACCAGGGATCCCACATGTCAGTCCTGAACGCAAAGTAGATTTCCTTAGCAGGAAACAGGTGAGCTATGAGCCCTAGAGGCTGTGACTGGATGTAAGCCACCAGAGGAGAGGTAGAAAGACGAGAACTCCAGCCAAAGGAGGCCTGCGTTCAGAATGGAACTGAGGTAGACAGGAAGCAAGACCGGGGACTTCCTCAGCTAGAGGGGGAGGAAGGTCAGGGTAAGCCCAGGAGACCAGCTGTTCCCTCCCGAGAGACTGGAGTGAAGCCTCTTCAGACTCCCCTTTCCTACCAGGAAGTAGGGAAATCACTGTCCCATCAAATGGATCCATGGAGTCTCCCCTAGATCTGGAAAGGAGTCTCTAGGATCTGGCAGGAAGACCCAGGCGGTCAGGAGTGGAGGCTTGGCTTCCAGGACAGCTTCCCAGATGCTTGGCACACTGGCACACCCTGTCTGCTAAGTGAGGTGTGGTATGCTCTCAGTCTCTGAAGTAAGGGAGGAGAGAGCCCTCTGAAAGAGATGCTTGGGACCTTTGACAGGAAGCCAGCGTTCTACGCCGGGTACTTGGCCTTGAGCAGAGCCAAGTCCCTCACAGCCCTGTCCGTCCAGTGACCGTATTCCCGGGTCACTATGTAGCCCCGGCATTTCCTCTCAAAGGCTGAGGCCCCAAAAGGGACAATTCCCAGAGTATCCTCTTCTGGGGGGATGGACAGTCCCAGCGCAGTCATGATGGCAGCCATGTTGCCCAAAAGGCCTTGGGCCCTGAGTCTTGCCGCGCCCAGCTGGGCCAGCAGGATGGGGCTGCCGGGATTGAGATCGCTCTGGTCGTCCCCCACCAGCTGGAGGTGCTGGGTCAAGGCCAGGAAGGCTCCCTGGGCTCGGCTTAGCCGCTCGGCGTCATCCATCGAGTGCCAGGTCTTGAAGGAGACTGCAGCAGGAGGCAGGCTGCTGAGCTGGAGCTCAGGGGCTGAAAAGCCAGGGTCACTGAAGGGGCTGCCCTGGTAATGGAGCTGCGTGAACGAGAGACAAACAAGAGTAAGGGACCGGGGGAGTGTCTGGGCGCACATCTTCCCCCTGAGACAGGCAATCCCACCATCCACGGCTCTTCAGGAGCTGCCGGGGTGAACAAGGACACTCACTACAAGCTCCCTTTGGTCCTCTGCACATCAGCTGTGCCTCACTGAGCCCCAAGAATCCATGGCTCCCCGTGGCAGTGTTGTACGTTGGTAGGAAATGACACGTACGAGTGAACACAACATCTTGCGTGCAATTAAGGCAAGAACCACTACCTACTGATACATGAATATCCATGAGCAATACGACCACGTCTTACATGTTCCGTTATTTTTGTTTGGTTGTTTTTTGATTTTTTTTTTTCCAAGACAGGGTTTCTCTGTGTAGCCCTGGCTGCCCTAGAACTCTGTAGACCAGGTTAGCCTCAGACTCAGAGACCTGCCTGCCTCTGTAGAGCAGGCTGGCCTGAAACTCAGAGATCCACTTGCCTCCCACGTGCTGGGATTACAGGCATGTGCCACTGCACTGGTACTTTTTATTTCCTAAACAGGGTCGATGTGTATCCCTTACTGTATATCAGTATGGAGGCTGGCCTCAAAGTCACAGAGATCTGCCTGCTACCTGAGTTCGAGACTGAAGGAGTGTACCACACCCAGGGCTGATGTATTCATGGTATTTAGTCTCATCTCCTCTGTACAAAACAAGACTCACAGGTTCTTTTGGTTTGTTTATTTGTGGTTTGTTTTGCTTGTTTATCTGTTTTGCTTTGTCTTATTTTTATTTTTTGAAGATTATTTGATGTGTATGGTTGTTTCGCCTGCATGCAGTGTCCATCACTATGTGTGTACCAGTGACCTTGGAGGCCAAAAGAGTGAATCAGGTCCCCTGGGACTGGAGTTACAATGGCTGCAAGCCACTATGTGGGTGCCTGGAATTAAACCCAAGTCCTCTGGAAGAGCAGCAAGTGCTTTTCACCACTGAGCTCTTAGAGAGAGAGTGTCAGAGACAGAGTGTGTATGTCAGAGAGAGAAAGAGTGTCTGTCTCCCCAGCTCCTGGTTTTTTTTTAAATTTATTTATTTATCATGTATACAATATCTGCATATATGCCTTCACATCAGAAGAGGGCACCAGATCTCATTATAGATGGTTGTGAGCCACCATGTGGTTGCTGGGAATTGAACTCAGGACCTCTGGGAAAGCAGTCAGTGCTCTTAACCTCTGAGCCATCTCTCCAGGCCCCTCTTGTTTTGTTTTTAAAAGAGAATCATACGCTGTGATCGAGGAGTGCCTTGAGCTCATAATCCTCCTCCCGTCTCCTAGGAGCTGACAGCCTTGTGCCACCACGCCAGACGCGACACTGCACAATATAACCTTTCAAAAAATACACTAAAGCTGGAAGTGGTGGCGCACGCCTTTAATCCCAGCACTCAGGGAGGCAGAGGCGAGCAGATCTCTGTGAGTTCGAGGCTAGCCTGACCTACAAAGCAAGTCCAGGACAACCAAGGCTACACAGGGAAACCCAGTCTCAAAAAACAAACAAAACAAAACAAAAGAGGGGCAGGAGAGATGGCTCAGAGGTGAAGAACACTGGCTGTTCTTCCAAAGGTCCTGAGTTCAATTCCCAGCAACCACATGGTGGCTCACAACCATCTATAGTGAGATCTGGTGCCCTCTTCTGGCGTGCAGGCACACATTCAAGCAGAACACTGTAAACAGGCAAAGAGCCTCTCTATAACTCCATTTTCTCACCTGTATAATGGATTCTAGTTCCACCCCTCAGAGGGGTCAGAAAGGTCCACGAACCAATGAGATGCAGCACCCAGCATAGACTAGCTGGAGTGAGGACAGAGCATGGTTCCAGCAAAATGATTACCTAAAGAGCTAGGCATGTCGTGTGTGCGTGTGCGTGTGTTTGTGTGTTCGTGTTTTACTGTCAGGTCCAGTAAAAACAGGGTCCTAGCTTTGTGGATGAGGCGGTCAGGATCAAGGGATGACACCTGAGCAGCCTGACAGCACTCAGCCAGCAATGACAACACAGGCGAATGTGTCTCTGGCTATGGGGCCCTGCTCCCTCGGGCTCACGGAAGGGGTCTCCTGGGTTTGTTCTGCTCTCCCCATCAGGCCAGCACCTCCTCCCCGCCCCCTGCAGTTCCCAGGGTCACTCACGTAGGTCTGCAGCAGTGTTGATGTGTTCTTCTGCATGTAGAGGGCCAGGCTATAGGCTTGACTGATGGGCTCTGATGGGGAGATGGGGGCCGCAGGACTGAGAGGTAGCGACAGCAGGCTCAGGAGGCAGAGGGGTGCTGGGAGGGGATAGAAGAAGGTCAGTGTGAACTCCCTGGCCCTCTGGTGGTTCACCATTCATTAATTCATGTTGACAATGCCTCCAAAGAGGACAGCCATTGTGGCCTGTGATCTTTTTCTTGTCTATTCAAGTCAGGGCAAGGTTACCTGGTGAATTGATTGTTTTATTCCCAGAACTCCCCTTTGAAGCAGGGTCTCACTGTGTAGCCCTGGCTGTTCTGGAGCTCGCTTTGTAGACCAGGCTGACCTCAAACTCCCAGAGAGTCACCTGTCTCTGCCTCCCGAGTGCTGGGATTGCAGGCCAGTACCACCTCACGCAGTGGTGGGGATGTTGCTTATCTGAACACTCGCTAGAAATGTCCCCTTTATGAAGACCCATCCAGCCTTACGTGGCTACCTACAAGTGTAACCTGTGCTTCCCAATAGAATGTTTGCATCTTTTCTCTTTTCTTTTCTTCTTTCTTTCTTTCTCTCTCTCTCTTCCTTTCTTTCTTCCTTCCTTCCTTCCTTCCTTTCTTTCTTTCTTTCTTTCTTTCTTTCTTTCTTTCTTTCTTTCTTTCTTTCTTTCTTTCTTTCTTTCTTTCTTTCTTGTAGTTTTTTAGTTTTTTGAGCCAACGTTTCTCTGTGTAGCCTTGGTTGTCCTAGAACTCACTCTGTGGCCAAGTTGGCCTCAAACTCAGAGATCTGCCTGCCTCTGCCTCCTGGATGCTGAGATTAAAGGTGTGCACCACCACCGCCTGGCCCCCTCCTACTTTCATGTCGTGTGTGTGTGTGTGTGTGTGTGTGTGTGTGTGTGTGTGTGTGTATGCGTGCGCGTGCGCGCGCGCGCGTGTATGTTTAAATTCATAGCCAGGTGGGGCGGCATATGCCTTTAATCCCAGTACTCGAGGGTTCTGTGAGTTTGAGGCCAGTCTGGTTTGCAGAACTAGTAGTTCCAGGACAGCCAAAGCTCCACAGAGAAACCTTCCCTGGGGGAGGGGGAACAAAAACAAACAAGAAAAACACTTAGATTCTGTGTATGAGAGTCAACATGCAGTATTTGTCAGAATCTGGCTTATTTTGCTTCACATAATGATCTCAGTTCCCTTCATTGTGCCTGAAAAAGCTATTTAATTCTTCTATAGCTGAATAAAACACCACATTTTCTTTTCCCATTGCTCTGTTGTTGAAGACCTAAACTGGTTGCGGATCCTGGCTGTTGTGACTACTTTGGCAAAATGGATGTATGGTAGTCCAGCTTTCTTGGTTTTATTGTTGTTTTTGTTTTGTTTTACATCTCCACCCGTTTATGTGGTGCTTCAGATAGCCCTAAGGCTCCGTGCATGCAATACAAGGGTTCTCCCAACTGAGCCAGGCAGCCCAGGCCCCAGCTTTTCATGTTCTACCTTGAGGTCTCCCCAAGTGCTCAGGCTGGCCATCCTCCTGGTCCAGCCTCCTGAGTGCTGGGACGGCACCAGATGCTTGTTTCCCACTGGACACAAGCTGACCAACCCTCCTGCCAAATCCCTGGTGCAGCTTGCGCCCCCATCCACAGTGTGAGGTCACGTGCCCGACGGATGGGAGGAAGGTGAATGCAGGTGGTCTCCTCAGCCCCTCTATGTCCCTCAGCTCCAGAGGTTCAAAGCCAATCAGGAGAGAACCAAAGTTCAGCTGGCAGGTGAAGGCTTCTAATCCCAGCACTCGGGAGGCAGATCTGTGAGTTCTGGCTTAGTCTGGACTACACAGTGAGACCCTGTCTTGTTTTTAAAAAGAAAGAAGACTGGGAGTAAAGATACTTTCCTCATAGGTTCAACAAGTTTGAGGGAGCTCATCTCCCCTTACTCCCATTATAATTTCCTTGATTGTTTGTAGACAGGGTCTTGTGTAGCCTATCTGTTACAGAGCTATGTGCTCCAAGTTAGCTTCAAATGCACCATCCAGCCTCAGTCTCCCAAGTGTTGGGATTCCAGGCATGTACCAGCGTGCCCAGGGTAACTTATTTCTCTGTTGCTTGTGACACAAACCTGTCACTCTGTAGATGTCAATCCCCTCTCCTTTTTTTTTTTTTTTTTTTTTTTGTTCTTGTTGTTTGTTTGTTTTTTGAGACAAGGTTTCTCTCTGTAGCCTTGGATGTCCTGGACTCACTTTGTAGACCAAGTTGGACTCAAACTCACAGAGATCCATTTGCCTCTGCCGGCCTCCCTGAGCGCTGGGATTATAGGCGTGTGCCAGGCGCGCTGGCCTGGTTTATCCCAAATCTCTTTGCAGTATGGTTAGCCCTCTATATCTGCACCCATGTATTCAGGCAGCCGCAGATGCAAATGTCCATCTGTCCCGGGTACAGAAAGCTTGGTTGTAAACAATACAGCCTACCAGCTACTTACACAGGATCGACAGCGCATCAACTGATACAATAATGTAGAGAGGGTATAAAGTATATGAACAGACATGCCCAGGTTATAGGCAAACATCACGTTTTATATAAGGGGCTGAAGCATCGGCGGACTTTGGTCCGATTTGCAGAAGTCTTGGAATCAGCCCTCTCTGGATGCCAAGAGACAACTGTGCCAGTGCATGGTGTGGCTTCAATAAACACCCCTTGAGCGGATGGTGAGTGAATCCTATGTGTGAGGATGTGAAGGTTCCCAGCACCTGCACAGCCACTGGGCAGCCACGACTGAGCAGCAGGAGGCAGCTGGCAGAGCCTTCTTCCCTCCTGGTTCCTGGGCCCCGGCACCCTGTACCCTCACTCACCCGGCAGGCAGTACATGCTCCCTCCTTGGCTCCTTCCTCTGAAGACTCTGGGTCTTACCAGGGCACCTGTCCTCCTGTCTCTTGGGTAGCTTTATAGCTGGGACTGAGCCCTAGAGCCGCCCAGGAGGGGGGGGG